GATTTTACAAGATATAATATAAATTTTTAATTTATATCTTATAACCAATTGATCGATCTTCCAACGAAGTAGTCTAATTTAAATAATCTAACTAAATAACGATTCGAATAATAAGAACAATTAATTCAAACCGATTTAATTGGAAGCAAACTGAAGAAATTCCCGAAGAGTCGTCAATTGGAAGTTGGAACATTTCCATCGCAATAACGCTTTATCGCCATTAAACGAAAAATTAAACGAAACGCTTGTCGAAGCCGAGAAAGAAATTTTGTCCGAACGGTGTCCCTTTTTCTATAACCATACAACTACGTATCCCATACGCACGAACTATTTTAAACCAACAAATCGTGACCGCAATCAATTACACCAATTTATCTTAAAAATTGGAAATAAGTTAGTCTCGAGCTCGTTTCCCCATATACGAATTTTCACGATTGTATTTATTCCCAATCACCATGATCCATTGGAAGTGATGAATTTTCAAGAATGGCTAAAGCTAACCCGTTCGAAAAGATTCGGGAAAAGTTAGAAATAAAAGATGTTGCTCCATTTCCTTACAAAGATATTCACAAATATCGCCAGACAGAGAAAACGCAACTTGAATTGAATCGAAGAAAGGATGGAACGGCCCCGGTAAGATTAAAAATTTATTCGTATATTTACTACTTACGTAAAGTCAACGACGGATGTTCCCTATACGAACGCGCGCACAGCCGGGTTCATTAACTGTCGGCCGGTTAAAATGCCCCTTTATGTAAGAACGGATGGAAGGAAGAAAAAGCATTGACGACAGGTTTTCTCTCCGTAAATGTGCCACACGCGCTCTATCCGCCACTATCCTGGATCTCCTTCGCCCGCGATATCCACTCCCCTGAGCTTCCTCTTCCTTTTCGCCTACTTTTCACCTCGCGACCGGCCTTATCACCTCACCGCCGTCCGGTTGTTGCTCGTCCACGATCGCACGCCCCCGTCATCGAGCTCTCCACCATTCCATTCGTATTCTTCTATGGACGATGAGTTTCTTCTTTTTAAAGGGAGAGAAAGAGAGAGAAAGATTTTTAAAAAACGAACGATTTCGACGAGAGGAATGATGAAATGTTACAAACGATGTGTATATATATATATATATAGAGAGAGAGAATTATACTCTTTATATCTTTGAATATCGAATATACTCGAATCCCAACATCCCTCTCTTTCTTTTCGTTCCCGATCGCACTTTCTCGATTCACGCGGGAGGATGATCAGAGCAGGCGATCGAAGTCTCGGCTCCCGTTTCCATCACTTTCGCGGAATAAATGGAGAGAAAAGGAGACAGGCAAGGCTTGTTCGCGACAACGAAAGGATGAGACGATTCGTGGAGACGATTCTCGAGGCGAAGAAGGATGTGTCGGGCAGGTAAGCGCGTGTTCCTCTGTCGAATCGCGAAGTGAATGAGGAGATAGTGGAACAGTAGTGCAGCGTGGACCACGGTAACGAGAACGCGATGCCCACTTGGTGGGCAAAGAAAGTGGTAGGGACACACAGAGTGGTACGTGGAAACGGGCTCCTCTCTTTCTCTCTCTCTCTCTCTCTCCCGCCTCCTCTGTCGCGAATTGAATGATCCGGCTCTTTCGTTCGACTCCGGTGACTAAGTATACTTTGACCGACGCCGAGTGAAAATCCCTGTTTATCGCGCCTCCATCCGATCGCTTTACTCTCCTCGCCGTTCCCAAACCGTTCTCCTCCCTTCGAAGCCCCGCACCCTTCCTCCCCCTCTTCCGCGAAGGATTCGTGTGCACGAGGAGAGCAGAAATTTTTCCGGGGGAGGAAAGTAATGCGGATATCGAGCGTTTATCCACGGATCGTGTCTTCTTTTCCCTTTGAAATCTCGTGTTACGAGGAAAACGGGATCCACCATCGAGGAGAGAGAGGGAGGGAGGGATATTTATTATTTTGCGAAAAATAATTAATATTCACGTCTCGAATTGCTAGAATTTCTTTCATATTCTTCTTTATTGCTTATTTAGAATTGTGGAAAGTTATTCGCCATACCACACGGAACTGAATGTTTTAAGGTTCGAATAACTGTAAAGCTTCGTCCGTGCATTTTTTCAGATTAGAACCTTAGAAAGTTGCGAGACAAGGTTATGAAAGATGTATAAAGAACAGTATCCGACTGTCGGTGAAATTTTTATTTCGCTACACCAATGTGTTCTATGCCTGCAGTTGTATACGTGTATATTTATATACAATTTATATACGATTTGTTCGGAAATGAAATTAGAGCGATAGGGATAAATAATAAGATCGGACGGAAATCGACGGAACGACGGAAGGAGCGGAAAGTTTTGTTGTTTATTGTTGTTGTTAAAATATACGCAAAAGAAGATTGTGCAACGTGTTAACGATTAATTTAATATGTTTACCACGAGAGGTGATGATCTGAAAAAAAATCTCGGTCGGGCAATAATTATTACGTGCGACGAATCATTTGTCAAATTGTTTGTTCAAACACCCGTCAAATATAATTACAATTCCAAAAGAATTAATTGTCCCCCCCCCCGTTTTATTATTATTATTCTCTTTACATAATTCGGAATTATTCCATTTTCAATTCCTTCGACACAATTGAAATCTTTCCTCCTCCGGTTTTTGCCCATTTCCCATCTTTTGTAACTGAATTTCTAACTGTTTCGAGAATAACAATCGTAAAACCAAATCCTCTAATAAATTTTCCGGAATTATTATAATTTACAATGCATTCAAACATTGCCACGTTCTTCCACGAATTAACGGTTTACTTTATTATAGTTAATTTTATTGCTTTACTGCTCATCATTGTTGTTCCAATCTGAAGGACGACAGGTAGACGAGTGGGGTGGCCTGTTATTACCAGGAAGGCCCATTTACCCTTAATCACCTTATCTTTCCTCGACCAATCGTCCGCTTCCTCCTGGCCAACTCCTCTCCAATCAGAAATTTTCACAATTTTACCGTTGCCCTTAACCCTGGCCATCCCCATCCCCTAAACTCCGCTCGTTCTTCATTCGAATTTTGCATGCGCGTGCAGTCGGTGGTCAAAGTCAGTACTCGGTGAATTCTTGACAAGTGTTGAACTCTCTCCTGTGAATTCCTTTGCAACTTCCTGAGTGAATCGGAACCCGTTGAAGAACTTGGAACAACGTTGCCGCAACAGATTGTTCACCGATTATTAATCGTCGTCGAGGAGGATATTGAGTGAGTAATAATAATATTCGAATATTTTTCGTTAACGATTAAAAAATAAATTGGGCACAGAGGAAAGTATATTTTCCAATGTATATGATTCGAATTCTGTCGCGATATTCGTTATTTGATTCGTGAAATATGGAGAAAAAAAAGTTAAGGGTGTAAAATATTCGTTTATCCCAAAATTGAAATATTTCTATTTCTTCAATCGAGTCTTCGTTACGAGTCTGCGTTATATATAAAATTTTTCTTGTCCCAATTTTTCGACAAAATGTCGAATGTCGATTATTCACAAAATTCGAATAATATTGAATATTTATAATTTTCTTCCAAGAATTCCAAAAAGAAAAAAAATAACATATATATATATATATATATATACTGTAAACTTATTTAAATCGAAGACATATTATCTGGTCAATAATAAATGTTATATGTCAAAGGTGCCCGATTAAGGAAAGATTATCAACTCTTTCGTAAAAAAAAAAAAAAAGGAAAAAAAAATAAAACCTAAAAATCGATGTCGCCGATGCGATACTTTTTTTCGCGATAACGTCAACAGGAAATTAAATGAATTATTGAGATCATTAGAATAATGTTGGAAATAAACATGAACTTATTAGATTAAACGACATATATATGTGTATATATAATAATTACTTATCGAGAATAAATTTTAACTATTATTATTATGTGTATATTTTTGCACGTATGAAAATGCAATTTAAATATTTTTTCAAGTTCTTTTTTTTTTTTTTTTACGTTAAATCCGTTAAATTTTCTCTAATAAAATTATATTTAAGAATGATAAATGAGAAAATTTTATAAATATTGCTTCAAATAAATGTGAAACAATGCAAAATTGTGAAACAGACGATATTTTTCAAGCAGCAGAAACAACAAATTGGTTAACCCTGTGACTTTCTCGTTTCGCACGCTTCACATTAAGTAACCAATTAAACCTAAGGCCTTACTTAAATTTACTTGTGCGATTTCTTTTACGTAAAAAAAAAAAAAAAAAATAGTACTCGAAAGAGAAATCTTGTACTCGAAAGAGAATTGTCCTTATTCAAAATTTATTTCGTATCTCGCTATTTTGTTGAAAACTATTAATATTCGATCTATCTAACAAAGTATTAATTCGTGAATCCTGTTTCGTGTTCTCGATATTAAAATGTAATATCGCTATAATTAGAAAGATGTGATAAGAAATATACGTTGTTGTATATCCTGTAATTAAGTCGGCTGATAGTTTTTACTTATGTTTTTTTTAAATAATATAAAAAAAAATTCTCTCTAAATTCTTGATATTTCCATAAATTGAATGTAAAACTCGCAAATTGCTGCATAATTAAAATCACAAATATTCGAAGAATGAATGATAAAAATATTTGAATAATGCAAAATATTTTAATATTTTTTTTTATTTTATATATACATATTTTATATATTACATATACATATATATATATATACATATCAGTAATAATTTATGTAATAATTTCATGACTTATAATAATTTATAATACTCATCGATATGTAAAAAAAATAGTGCATCAAAAATTAATTGTTACGATTGTAAATAAAAAAATTTTATTTACATTATTTACATTTATAATATATATATATTATAATTATTATAATTAACGAACGATAAGATTAAGCATATGAATGAATAATGACTTGTACTAGATCTTCGTATTTTAAATGATCTTTGATATTATTAATAAACTTATCGTAAATCCTTGAACTGATATATTTTCAAACCAATATTTTGATTTAAATTCAATAGAAAAATGCTTGTTATATATCGCAGACGAGAATCTCATTGGTCAATTCATTTTTTATCTCTTAGAGGAATTAGGACATTCTTACAATTTTATTAATTCGATTTTAAAATAAGATAGCAATGTTATTAATGGTCGAAGTTGAAATTAAATTTCAATATAAATAAAAATAAGAAATAGAATAAAATAAAAAATAGAATTCTTATAAACGTAAATGAATTTATACGCACGATTATATTTGTATATAAAATATAATTATCGTAAAACGAGTAACTGAAATGATAGTTTCACATTTCGTTTTATTTTCAATATATTATAAAACCGGAAATGTAATATTCAGATTATAATATTATAAAAATTATAATTTTGAAAGGAAAATGAAACGACGATCTGTCCAATTCAAATACGTTTTGTATTTCGTTATGATTTCGTGTCAAGCAAATATAAACAAGGAAAGGAAATAGCGAGAGAAGGACAAAGATACGATAAAAATATTGAAATCAGCGCCATCTCTAGAGTGCCGCAAATGAAACTCGTAAAGGAAGGACAGAAAATAGTGAGAGAAGGATAGAGATAGGGCGAGAAATGATCACTAGTGCCATCTCTTGAATATGGGCAATATCTTCTTAAAACAGGATAAGGTAGAGTAAGATTTGAAATCCAGCGACATCTTGTGATATATTTAGATATATGTTTCAGAGAATACTCAAAAGATGGCGCTGAATGTCAATTTTTATCCTATCTCTATCTTTCTTCCTCTATTTTTTGTCCTTTTTTTATGAGTTTCATTTGCGGCACTCTGAAGATGGCGCTGATTTCAATATTTTTATTCTATCTCTATCTTTATCCTATTATTTTTTCTCTTTATCTATATTTGCTTTACGTTATCCATGTGTTCGTGATACGGCGCCAATTTTTGATTAACTTTATTATCTATTCTTCTCAAATCTACTGATTATTCCATGGAATTATCTCATATAAATATATACTTGATAATTTTTTATTTCTATATATCGTGCATATATATAAATTTATTTTTTATATGTGGACAGGAAGTGACACGAGAAATTTTTCCACAATTTTAGAACTAGAAATATCTATTATTTCGATTTTATAAATTTAGGAAAATATAATTTAAAAATAGATTTTATATATTTATATGGATACTTACATATTTTATTTGCATATTTATCTTTTAGAATAAGAATAATTGTTTTTATAAATTTATTCTTTCATATTGTATCATTTGTAAAGATATATATTTATCGTTACAGCTCGATATTCTTCATAGAAAACGATATTAAGCTATGAAAACAAAAAAAATTTTACCTTAGATTACCTTTTTATTAATCAAATATCTTTTAAATTAAATAGTTTTTTATTATAAGTGATTTAATAATTTTTATTCTATTCTATTTATTTCTTTTATTATAATATCCATAAAAATCTATAAAATTCATAATAAATGATTCACATCGTATTACAAACCTTACCATATTCTATACATACATATATTTTCATTAAGTTTAAAGCATTGCGAATTGTCATGTCATACATATGAAGTAATTAAAATTTTTGCAATCTAATTTTATATTATATATGTTTCTTATATTCTTTATCATCATTATCGAGCTTTTTTACTTGTAAAATACAATTTTCAAGTTCGAGCTATTAATTTTTATTTATACTTTTATGTATCCTATTCAATTGTATAAAAATGAACTTCATATATATCCTCTTTAATTTACATTATATACAATAGCATTTTCTAAATAAATGTGAATCTATAAATGTAATTTAGTCAATGAAATTTACTGCGTGGCTAATAAAACTAATATTCTATTGAAAGTAACTTTTTCCATCGTTTGTGTCCATCTGTTCATAAATTCGGGACAAACAGCAGTTAGCAGCTGGCAGCTACAATAATGTATGTAGTGGATAAAATTAAGCATTATCAGCGAAATATTGAAAAATGTGATGACAATGAAGATAAAGTATGTATTGTTGCACTAATTTTAGTATTCTACAAAATTTTAGCAACGTATACAATGGTGCAGTTTTATTAATATAGTTGGGATATAACCTTATAATGAAATTTAAATACAATTATGACAATATTTAAATTCTATAAATATTTATAAACACTATATAAATATAATATATATATTATAAAAATATATATATATATATGAATATATATATATATATAAATATATATATTTATATATTCATTCTTAAATGAAAATTTTTATAACATTTATTCTATTGTATTTTTATTTTGTCTTTTTTCCTCATATAAAATCATCCTTTTAAAAAATATATAATTTTTGCATATTATTTTTACTTCTATAAATTTTATCTATAACATTTATACATTAGTTAGCTTTATATTTTATTATTCATTCTTAAAATAAAAATTATATCTTTTGTATTATAATCGTATTGCTTTTTTATTTTGATATTTTTTTTTTTAATTATTTGATATATATATATATATAATTTGATTTATATAATTAATGTATTAACTAATATATATTATTTTAAATATTACAGGTTATTTATTGTATTTCAAAACTATCTAATTTGCCAGTAACAGTGAAACATCTTCAAGATACTGGTGTAGGACGTACTGTAAATGGTTTAAGAAAATATGATGGTGGTGTAGGAAATGCTGCTAAAGCACTCGTAGCAAAATGGAAAGCAATGGTTGCTAGTGAAGAAACTAGCGAAGGTGAAGTTGAATACGAAGACGATACATGTGTTCCTGATGCACCTGACAGCTATAATATAAATAATCGTGAATCCCCAAAATCTGAAGAAAATTCTATAAGGTATAATGACATTTTATATATAATTATTATATATTTATAATATATTTATTAATTTAATGCAGAATTATTATATTTATTATAATAATATTTTGTTTCTTTTAATAAATAAATAAATATATATATATATGTATTTGTTATATATATATAAAATAGATAGATAAAATAGATAGATAAATATAAATGATTTTTCAGACATAAAAGTGAAGAAAATCAAAAAAATATGTATAAACATAAGTCAGAAAAATCTGAAATGTCACATACATCACATAGTAATAAATATTCTTCAAAATATGAATCTAAATTAAAAATTAATGAATCTCAACCGAGAATAAATAATGATGTTGCTAAAAATTCAAATAATAATTTAGAAAAACAAAAGAAATATGACAAATCTAAACATAATCATAAACATGAGTCAAAAAATGACAAAAAATCTTCGAAAGATAAAAGTGCCTATAAAAAAGATGAAATTCAAAGTTCTAAACATCATAATCACAATAAATCTGATAATACAGAAAAACATTCTAACAAATCTTTGGATAACAATAGCTTATCTAAAATTAATGAAGAAAATCATAAAAAACGAAAAAATTATGATTCAAATATACTTAAAAAAGAAAATAAACGAAGAAAATATTCAGATAGTGAAAATGATGAAGTTAAATTTCAAGAATCTTCTAGTTTTGAAAAGCATAATAATAGTATCACATTAAATACAATTAAAATAAAAGAAGAACCCAAGGATAAAGATATATTAACTAAAAATGAAATTAAATATGAAAAAAAAGATGCTCATGAAAAATCAAAAAGCAGTTCTAGCAAATATCGAACTGATTCATCTAATAGCAAATTAAAAGATATTAATAGTGAGAAACATAAACATAAAATTGAAACACATACAAATCATAATAAAGATGAAACTAGACGAAGTAATCATTCTAAGGAATCTTCAGAATTAAAACATCACAATAGTTCCTCTAGTGATAAGCATCATGATAAAAGTAAAGATAGGACTAAGAAAAAGGATCATAAGGGAGAAAAAAATAGACATGAAAATAAAAGTAATAAAGATTCAAAACATGTGAAACATGGATCAAAAGAATCTAAGGATTTGATAAAAATAAAACAAGAAATTAATGGAGATGAAGGAATTGATTGCCACTCTGGTTAGTTATATTTATAAATATAATTGTGTTTGTATTTCATACATGATCAAAATAGATATGCAGTATTTGTTTTCTTTTTTTTATTAAGAATACTGAATAAATTATATTTTTTATAACATTATTATGTGCATCTATTAAATTATTTAATATATTCTATGTTGTATGAATTTGGTTTTGTATTTATTATACTTGATTTATTTTTTATGATCAAAATGTAAATTAAAATAGAAAGCATAATTATACTTTAATATCAAAATATATTTTATAGTTTTAAATTATTTTTTATGAAATATTACCTTTAAAATATTACCTTTATATTCAATAATTAAATTTCAATAAATTTTATTATTTTTATTAATTTAAAAAATTATGAATATTGTTTATTTGTCTATAGGTGCTAGCTTTGCAGAAGCATTAGGTATGTGTACAATGACACAAGTATCAAAAAAAACGTAATAATAATTCTCCAAATACAAGCGCATCTAAAGTGATGAAAGCAGAACAATCAGCTGCTATAAATAATAAGAAAGTTACAGTGAAAATTGAACCAACAAATGATAATTTACGAGTAATTTATATTATTAATTATTTTATTTATATTATTAATTATTTAAAGAACTTTTTATCATTAAAAAACAATTATTAATAAAAAATTTTCTTTTTTTTTTGTAGACTCCATCGCTTTTAACATCAAATATAAAATTAGAGCCATTAAATGTAGATTTAGCATCTACATTACCTGAAATTAGTCCAAATTATAAGCCACTGCCATATATTAATCCAGTTCAGCGTAAGGAAGAAGATAAACTTCTTACAGATGTAATCTATGTTAAAAATCAAAGGTATATACTGTAAATATATATATATGATAACAATGTGTGTTGATGTGTAATTATAATTGTAATTTTAATTTTAGGACAAAAGTATATTCAGGAAATAAATCTGGTTATACGAGTGTACCAACTTTATTTGAGTTATGTACAAGGGTATTGATAGAAAATATTGATGGTAAGTTATCTATAAATTATATAATTATATTTTTAAGAAGTTTTGTGAATATATATATATATATATTTTTTATTTTTTGTAAATAGCACTTGAATTTACGGGTGGTGTGCCTTTTGATATAATAAAACCTGTTCTTGAGCGCGCAACTGCAGATCAACTTTTTATGTTAGAACATTACAATCCTTATTTAGTTGAAGATACGGATGAATTATGGCAATATCATTGTAACCGTGAATTTAGAAATAAGCAAAGAGAAGAAATGGAAACATGGCGTGAGACATATATGGTAAGTCAATGGATTTGTATTATTTAAATTATTTTTTTATTTTATCTTATTTCATATTGATTATTTTGTACTTTTTATTCATCAACAGCGATGTTTAGATGAAAGAGAAGCCAAATTAAAAACACTTACAGCTAATATAAAACAATCGATAGATAAATCTGTTCCTGTAAGATCTACTAAACTTGCATATGTAGACAATGTTGTTAAACCTCCAAGAAATATTCTTAAAAAACAAGCTAAATATGGTACTGCTAATTCTTACCTACCACTGCATCTAATTTAAAGAAGAAATTAATCAGCGGCGGAGGACCTACAGCTGCTACAAATATATCTGTCCCGCCACCACCTATATCTCGTAACACAAAAACATGTATGTATTTTTATATACGATATAAAATATTGGCTTAACTTAGAATACTTTAATATATTAACATAAATTTTTTGTTTTCATTGCTGGCTGATATAGTGAAGAAAACAAAAGCACCACTCATGGCAAAAGCATTACAATTAATAAAAGGACGTTATAAACGGTAGTTTATACAAAATATATTAATGTATTCAATAATTTAGGTAAGTCATATTATTTTGTTACGAATGTTAAGCATAATATATATATATATATAAATATTTTATAAGAATTTATATATACTTTCGATTGTGTTACATATTGACGAAGTAATGTATGTTGAACAGAAATATATTCGTGTGAAGTTTGCATGCTGCTTCAGGCATTCCGAGATTTACCAAATTGATCATACCAAAATAATCAGTGCTTTTATATCTACTGTAAAAATTATAATTAATTTCATTAATTATACAGTAGAAGGGCACAAGTATTTAGATTTTTCGATAAAAATGAAAATTCAAAATATTTCATTATATAAAAGTTATAATGACTTCATACAAATTCAACTAGCATAAATTGATATTTTTTAAATATCATGATATTTATTACTCTGATATTTTAATTATTTAATACAATAATGAATTTAAAAATCTTACATATAAATTTAATTTCGTTCAGTATATTTTACTTTACAATGACATCGTGTTATTTAATTATATCTGTCCATAAAAAAAATATAGAAAACTTATTCATATAGAAATACAAAACTATATACATAATAAATATGTCCCATTTGTTGCTGTGATTCATTAATTTTTTTAGATTACAAATGTAAATATTTTTTGTGATTTAGAGTGATATATACCAGATTAGATAAATATCTAAAAAAAAAAAAAAAGAAAATAAAATAAAATAAAATAAAAAATTAAAATGATCATTAGTACTAAGAATATGAAGAGTAGAGCATTCTTCTATAAGTCATAATAAATTTGAAATATTTGTGACCGTTGTCGTAGATTTATATAGTATAACATTGAAATATTTATAAAATAGTTAATGCATTATAAACTAATTTCATTATTGTAACAAAAGATGAATAGAATTAATTATACATATATGTTTAATGAATTATGATATTGAATTATTTTAATGATCAGAAATAATTAGTTTATATTTATATTTAAAGAATCTTTAATGCATATTATAAACGCTTAAAAATTTGAAATCACAAAATAATAACTAAAAGTATAGTTAATTCGATATAGTTAAGCAGTAAATGTTGCACGTTAATATTTTTGTAAATCTTTATTTGAACAACAAATAATAATTAAACGTTCTATACGAATAATTATTTTATTTAATATGCGTGTGCGTTTAAACATTGTAATTCATTCATATAAATATATATTAAGTATAAGATAATTTTTTTATGATTCTTATATTAATGTTATATGATATATTTATATCATATATGAATTTAAATTTTTTTAAGAATATGATTATCTGAACAAATCGTAATATTTTTGAACAAATTTTAAATTTCCTTAACATTAAATTATATTAGATATATTATCATATTATTTTATACTTATTATATTGAAATGGTGTTTTTGAAACATTTGTATTTTACATATATTTTATTTAGTATTATTAAAATTATAAATAATAAAATAATGAAGTTAATTTAAACAGATTAGAATAAGTTTAAAATTAATCTTCTTTCAAAAACACCATTTTTATATATATTTAATTAATCTATATTTTCTAGAAATACATATATATATATATATATACATATACATAATATATTTTAGGTTTTAAAATTATATTTCCTGGATTAATGAAATTAATGAATTTTAAAATTTTTTAAATTTAATATTCATAAAAGTGAAATTTTCACTTGTAAAATAATCGAAATAGCAAGAAAGAATGCCACAAACAGTTTTATATATACTATATATAATTAAAAAACGAAAGAAGAAGAATATATTATAAAAATGTTATACGTCCACTGTATTGGAAAAGGAAAATATTTAAAAAAAAAACAAATAATTAATTTAACATTATTATCAGTATATATAATTATTAATGAAATTAAATCTATTTGATCTTTTAAATTTAAGTTATTGCGTAAGAAATATTATATTTAATTAGTATAACAATATTGTAAGTATATTATGTAAGGATAAATAATAATCATGTATGTAATTCATTTCATATATGTAGTCATATTTAAGGTAATGTATTTATGTTTTATTTATGATATATTAGCGATTATGTAAAATATTTTAATTTTGATAGTAAACATAATTTTAAGAATCAACAGATGAATTTGAGGAACTTCAAAACTCGAAAAACCTAAAAATTCCATATCATTTGAGTAAAATTTAAATTAATTAATTATTCAATTTAAATCAATTAAGTATTTATGCATTAATTTTTATACATTCATCCCATTTTTATAATTATTTTATTTTCCTATATAATGTAGAACGATATTCATAAATGAAGTATTTTACGTTCTACGTTTACCTTCAACAGATTACATTCTAAAACTCAAAATTTTTGTACATAAATTCTTTATTGTTTGTAATTTTTTTCCCTTTTTTTTTACATTTTTACCTCGCTTGAGCAATATATCAAAAAATAAAAATAGTACCTTACGAAAAAGATTAACAATTTGATAATGTTAATCAATCGTTTTGGTATTTACAAAATATAGTTAAAATATATGCGTCAAAGTATGATACTTCTTTTATGAATTTCTTATTTATATTTATATAGAACAAAAATTGAAGAATGATGAGAACATAGTTTATTATAATCTACTTAATTATTAATTATGTTTATTTAGAATAAATTAATTTAATTTTATAGGAAGTCATTCGTTATGTAATTTTTGTAATTTATTAGATTTTCATCCTTCAAATCTAATAAATTTAAATTTCTATATGCATAAAAGAACAATAAAATAAATAGTCAAAATGAAAATCATAAATCATACATGGATGATGGATAATATATGTATACATTTGTATTGATTATTAATTAGTCTGATTAATTTATATAGCGAGGTTGTGAACACTTTCCCTTTTATAAATCGATTGAATTAAAGGAAATTATATAAGATTAAAAATATGATATTTTCATATAGGAAAAATAATGAAAAAATTGATGTTATCGTTTGAAATGATTAAAAGTAAAAATAATAAGTAGATTATGGTTAAATATGAAATACTGTATTCATAAATATTACATAATTTATTTTTCAATTTAGTGTAACGAATTAATATCAATAAACATTTTCTCATAAAAGTTTTAAAATATTTTATTCAATAATACGATTGATTATTAAATTATACAATAATGTAGAGTATTTATTTAATTTGATTTATACAATTAAGATTGATTTCAATTAAAATAAATATAACGAATAAAACTTAACATTAATACAATTCTTATTAATTAGAGGAATTGGAATTATATGAAAAATTCATATAATGAGATTATTAAAACAATTTATCGAGCGAAGTAAATCTATATAGTGTTACATGCGTTACATTGCAATGTAATATTAATCAAAAATATTAGAAAAGAATCCAAACAGACAAATTTGATTCGAATAATTTTTATATATTTTTTTCCGATTTTATTTTTATTTTATTTTTTTAAGAATGTTTAAACATAGGTCGTTATAATTACATTATCCGTTCCAATGGAAAATGACGTGAGCGATCATTAAGTACATGGTTATTGTCATAGCACTTGTCAGCATAATTGGAAAGCCCACTCTGAAACGAACGCATTGAAAATTATTTGTCGAATTAATTAAATTATTATTACGCGAAGAATGAATTAGCGACAAACTCTTGTGAAAATAAGCTTAATTTATTCGCGATTTATTATTCGATTTGAATTCGAAATTTCACTCGATGAAATACCGAGCTATTCGATACAATATTAGATTAGTTAAAAGTTATTTCATATAATCATACAGGTTTATTATTGCCTCGCTATTAAATGAAAATACATACAAAGTTTTAAGTGGAAATCGATTGCAAAATTTTTGGAAATTATTTGAATAACGATATGCTACGATTTTATTTATTCAATAAAATGAATTAATTTTAATTAATTAATTAATAGATGTATAAATACAAACGATAATTTCAAAAAATGTATCTCTTATTTATATCAATTATATCAATTATTAATTTATTATTTTGTATATGCCCTGAATAAAAGATACAGAACTTATAATTTGTACGAAAAAACTTTGTAATCTGCGGCCTTCCTCGATCATTCCTTAAAAATAATTACTTACTTGAAAAATTGAATAAAAGAGAATTTGTACCCATGCTGTTCTGCAACTCCTGCGCAAACTACATTAGCAGTAGCTCCAATCAAAGTTCCATTTCCTGCAAATATTCCTATCCATTCAACTAAATAAATCACATTAAAATTGGTCTTTATCAAACCCTCAGCCTTTGCACAAGAGAATATATATATCATACTTTACTTTCAGATAAATATTTCAAATATTCGAACTTTCATTACCTCCCATACAAGCGCCAAAAGCTAATGCCCACACCAACGGTTGTAGGGGTAATTTTAATTCATTATTTTGCGCCAAAGTAGTGACGATCCTTATCATCATAGTTGAAAGAGGCACGTTGTCCACGAACGAGCTTGCGAATGCTGACACCCAAAGCAATAGCAGTATAGCTACTGCCAATCGTGATTCCTCGTTCACAGATAAAATTATCTTCTCCGTTTGCTTTCCTATCCAAGCGATCAAACCCAATCGTGATAAAGCCTAGAATCACGTTAATTAATCGAGATTTTATTCATTTATTTATTTATCGCGTTTATCTTTCTACCTCCATAAGAACGAATAAAGACGCGAAGAATAATAAAGTGCTCCATTCCACGCGCGCCATCAGACCATCCAAATCTTCGCTATCCGCTACAATCAACAATAAGAGAACACCTAACAAAGCGGTCCAACCTAATGATAAATGCAAATTTGGCACACTGTGCACGAAGAATAACGTGATCACGAAGATCAAGGTAAATCCGGATTTTACCAACAACCATTTGTCCCGAATAGGATACTGTAATAAAATAAAAATCCGAATATGAAGATATTAATGAATATATATATATATATATCGATTTAATATTTTACCTTTTCTTGAAGTTCCTCAAGCGTAGTTTTATACCTCTCAAGTGTCCCGCTGCCTGTCATTAGCTTCTTTTTTAACTGGGAGAGCAATCGTTGAACTTTTTTCAACAAAGTTTCTCTCACTAAATTTTCATCTTTACTATAACTCGACAAACTTGCCGCGGCCCTTTGCCAAATGGCAATTTCATGCCTTAATTCCTGAAACGAAAGGTTTAAGCAATTTTTGTCCTTTTCAACTCGTTTGTTTGTCGAAATAAACGATTAGAAGGAATATTTATATATACCTGTACATCTGGGGGTTCGGCGAATTTAAGAGCGGCCATATCTCGAAAGACGAATCGTAGTTGAGCGTATACTACGATCACTACCAATATTACACCTATGCTCATGTGTATTGTGAACGTGCTGAAATCGATGCCCTGAATAACGATGAACAATAATGATAAATATTACGTAATGAATAAGATACGTATTAATATTTTATTAAGGAATGTTAATATCGTGATTAAACATTTTTATTTTAACGGTAATGCGTTATACTGATTTAATTTAATCCTTAATGAAATATTTGTAGAAATCAATACTCGAAGTAGTCCCTTACATTATTGATAACATCGCGATTCGATGTAATAATTACGTTGGGCGGATCGCCTATTGGCGTCATAGCACCCCCGATATTAGAATAAACCACCATCGCTGTCAATATTGGCACCGGATTTATTTCCATTACTTCGCATAATCTGATGGTCACCGGTGTCATTAACAATACTGTCGTAACATTATCTAGGAATGATGAAATTAACGTTGTAAAGAAACATAGTGTACCTACGAGCGGCCATAACTTTCCTCCAGTGATCTAAAGAAAATTGGACGAGTGAATAGATGTATTCTGTTTTAGTAATATATATATATATTTTTTGTTTGATTTATATATCATTTCAATTTAATTTTTACAATTATTAAAATTGTAAAAGTTTCACTTGATAATATATTTAGTTTTCTGCGTAACAAAAAAATTTTTGTACAATTTAAAAATTTGTACCCAAGTGCAACTATAATTATTATTTAACGATTTGTAAACGTTTATTTAGAAATTAAATTACCTTGTAAGCGTAAACTGCCAACCAGTCGAATATACCCGTTTCAGCGATCACGGCAACAAGTATCATCATCGAGAATAATAATAGCAATGTGTCGACGTCTATCCAAGATATTAATTCATTCATAGTTGGCCTCTGGAAAATGATTTTAATTTGATAATTTAAAATCAGTCGACAAATTTCATGGATCCTTTTCAAGAAGATTTTTACCTCATTTAAAGTTGCCAATATCGCGATAGACATGGTCGAAGCTAGCATGGCTGCTAAAGTTCTATGTACAATCTATATAATAATGAGTTAAAATTATTAAAAGATGAAAGATCTTCTACTCGAAATATTACTCGTAAATTATTCGAATTACCTCGAATATTATAAGTACATATAATCCCAATAAAATTAATGCAGCATAAACTATCCCATCGTCTTTGTCTATAGGTGATAAATCATAACTGATGGAAATAGCAAAACTGGATTCTAGATTAGTTTTCAATTTGATCGATATCTCTCCGTGCTCTAACGTACTGTAAAATAAAATGACAATACAATTTCTCGAAGAAGGATATATTTTGAAAATTCGATCGTTAAACATTTTTGCGCCTACTTCTTATCCATATTTCTTAAATTAAATATCTTCTGATGCCTTTGTCCAGGAAAAATGTCCATTAGATTTTCAGGAAGTATCGGCAAAACCCATATATCACTCACGTTCTACATTAACGGATTAATGGATTAATTTATAAATATTAGTCCAAGACGAAAATCTCTTCTTAAGATGTTACACAGTTGTTACCTTAATTTCTTCATATCCGTTGAAAAATTGATTAGTCTTATTATCTTCGAAGAATTCCAGCCATATCATTAAATACCTATCCGATATATTTGCGTATTCTATTGGTTTCACCGGAGGAAGCAACGATCCTTCCAGCATTATACTGATATATTTCCTAGGAATTTCACCGTACATTTTATAACCTAAAAAATTAATTCAACCGCAACAATTTATTAAATTATTCTTATAATTAAGTGATATCGAAACGTTGAAGCGTACTTTTTATTTGTCCACTGGGTATTGAGATTTGATGCAACGATTCGATCTTCTCGCTTTTAATTACCAATATTAACTGAAACGAAGGAATACAATGAATACAATTTTAACACGATAATTCAACGGAGAATAAACTTACGCTGAATATTAACCAACAGAGACATAATAAAGTCAGCTTGGCGTATCGGTAAAAAGGCTTCTGTTTCGTTTCTTGTGTCTCTTGTATATTCAGATCCTCGTCGTTTTCCTTATTTTTCAATCTATTATGTAGTTATAAAACATTTTATTAACTTAATTTAAATATCAACGGAAAAAGAAAAACATCTCCGTGCCACTTACCTCAATGGCAATGGTTTCTCGAGGGACATATTTACTACCAGACAGTCTTCTTTGCTCCATCCGTGGATCTGTTAAAAATTATTCGAAATAATTGCGACACGACGTACAAGAATAAGTATTACTGCGCGATTCCATTTTATTGTAAACGTGTATTATCGACGTGAAATTTTTGCATTATACTAACATATATACTGTTATATACTGTTTACAGAGAAGACATTAAGAAGTACGGACCTTCCTCCCACGGTGTGATGGACCCGATCGTATTCTCTTTGAAAAACTGCCAAACTAGGATCCAAACGTATCGCCTCTGGTAGTTGACTCCAAACACGGAGTACCTCTTCTGGGATTTGGCCGAGTATTATTGAACTCGTGATAGATGATGGAGTTACTATATCGTATCGAATAAATGTCAAGCAAAAGAGTCATAAAGTGTATTATTGGCCATGAACTCGTGAAAA